GATTATATACTATTTTAGATTATTTTGGTAGAATTTTAACTTGTCGTATTTCTATCTGTTGCATGCGGCCGCTATATCTATTCCAACAGGATTTCTACAGGCTTTCAGACCGTATGACCATTTGCTTTCTCTGGGAACCTCTGGGGTTTGCATGTAGGACTAAAAAATGTGACACCACTAGTCGTATTGTTACGATGCATTCGCATCATATTATTGCGGATGTTCGCAAGCTCTTTTGGGCCGATAAATTGTTTTATAGGCATTGTGGATTAAATGATTCTTTGGTCTGGACCCCTCCCAAAACGTTCAGGGGTATCCCATATCATGGTCACACATGGCGTTTCAGCAACACACTACCCCCAACCAACAAAGGCAAACCTACCTTGAAGTCCAAGAAGCACAGAAATGATGGACCATAGACCATGTGGTACCCAAAAAGCATTATAAAAAATATTAAAAAGTATTCAGAGTATTGAACAGAATAATTATCAACAAGTATTGACAATTATGAAAAAGTTATGATGGTGGGAACAAGTCCATCTTTGAAACGCTACAGCAGCCAGTCAGCCAGTCATGAAGCACGCCACGCAGCCTTTGGTGGCGAGGTAAAGTCTCCAACAGGGGAAACTGCATCAACGTCGGTCTCGGGCACCGTAGTTTCCACCTTGTCGGACTGGAAGTGGGTTTGTTTCATGGTTTCATATTTGGTTTTAATACAGGGGTTGGTAACTGTCCCATTTTGGGAATATTGGACATCACCTTATAGTAGCCATTATAGACCATATACCTAATGGTTGGGTGATGTTCAATGGGGACATTTAATGACCCATGTAATATGGTTTCATAAATTTTCATGGTAAAAATGGCTGAAATCATCTGAAATCATCTGAATTCTCAAGAACATCAAGCAAATCCTAACACCATCCCTATCCAGCCGTCGTCCCAGCATCCCATCATCCCATGACTGGAACCTCTGCACCTGTCTCCGCTTTGGAGTCCGTAGGGACCTGGCGTCTGGGTTTGAAATTTTCAGGGAATGGGCCCCCCAAACCAATGGGGTGTCTTATGTTTTCCCGAAAAAAATCTCTATAACTTGGGTGATCCCTGGAGTTTTAGAACAAACCAACAAAACTTACTTGCAAGTCCATCCTGTTTGCATCTTGACTTGTAACACCATTCTCAGGTCCAGTTTCCACAGGCGATCTAATCATGCGCTGAGGATGGTGAACCGCCCGCACCTGTGGTTGCGTCGCTTGTGCCTTGCTTCCTTTGCAGCCCATTGCTTCGGTGATGTGAGCAGTGGAGGCAGGCAGTTCTTGATAAGCCAAACTGCACAAACATGATATAGACAACACTATAGATACATGAAATATGCACAAATGCAGACTGATGCAGTTTCGCATTTGGAGACTTTTGCGAAGAACATGCGTCTATATATATAAGTATGAGGCAACCAAGATTCCATCTGAGCACCGCCAATAGATTGCCAAGCAGGACAGTGAGTGACCTTTGTTTTCGAACACGCCTTGAACGCCTTTTGTACGCATTTTGAAAGCCCTGGCATTGCAAGGCATTCCGCCAGCCTCATGCTGGGAAACCCCTAGCCCAATCTCAAAAGATTGAAGCTTTGCAGGCATGTTCGGGAATCTCTGCCGCAAATCATTCAAAATTTCGTTATTTTCAGCAAAAATTGGCAAAACAACAAGCGTTTATTTGGCCATCAAAAACTAATTTCATGGCCAATTGGCTCTACACCTCTCAGGCCCGCATCTGGCCGGCTGGACATATTCACTCCCAGAACTCACTTGCGAACAAACATGCACTTTGGAGTGGTTTGACGTGCCTTGGACATGCATGACATGTCAAATCATATCAAGAATGTTGGCGTTTGACGCTTGTGGTGTCGAAAGTTGCTTTTCCCAATCTCCCTCCAGCTCAAAAGGCACGCGTCTCCCTCAAGAAAACTGGCGTTGCGTCAGGTTGACCAGAATTATACAATTAGGGTCATATATGTATACATATATATAGGCCGCCAGCCTCCTATTTTATCTCATATGGTGCCAGAATTAATCAATAATTTGATTTGTTGGAACTGCAAAGGCTGCATCGGAAAATCCATCAGGCCCGTACAGTACAAATTCACCATTCCCTCGTTGCTGGCTCAATGCCACGTAGCTGGCCCAATGCCTCGTTACGCGCTCAGCGCCTCGTAGCTGGCTCATGTTTTTTTGGCAAAAAAAACACGAAAAAATTGAGACAGCATGAGCAAGCTACATGCCCTTGAGCCAGCTCGGTGTGCCGTCATCATCCCGGCCAATGCATATTATCTGTTCGCTTTTACCTCTCACATTCGTTTGCCAGCTCACAGTGACGTAGCTGGCTCAATTTTTTCGATGTTTCTTTTTGTCGTTTTTTCCGTTAAAAAAAGGGAGCCAGCTCGATGCCATCGAGCTAGACCGATGTGTTTGAGCTAGCGCGGTGTTGCTGAGGTAGCTCGTTCCACTTGAGGGAGCCTGCAAATTGCTTCCCAATGTGTTCAATTGCCAGGTTCAGTCCCAAATGATTTGTTTAATAGAGATGGTACCCCTGTTGCAGCCCAGAAATTTAGGAGCCACGTTTTGGGCCAAATCTGCTTAGACAGCGGCACAACATTAAAGTCAAACACATGACCCCTTCTGAAATTGAGCCAGCTATATTACATGTTTAGAAATTGAGCCAGCTATATTACATGTTTTGAGCTAACGCAAAAAGGAGGAAGATTGTGGATTGCTACATTCAATGGTGTCAAGTTCCGCACAGATTAATTATGATTAATTGAACAGGTTTGAACAGACTGAGAGGATCTGAGAGGAATCAAAACGCTATCGCTATCGTTCCCCTGTCTTCACTGGTTCATCGCGCAGCAGAAGATAGAGTATGCAGGAGATGGCTCGTCCATCTGCGCGCAGGGAGGAACATCGAGACTCATAGTCATATTGTAGTCACATCAAGCAGTGGCCCGGGGTATGTTCAGAAAATAATCCATATATGGTGTATCCATATATATATATATTATCCGGTTATTGCTGGGCATCCTCCCTCAATACATCTCACCTTGCCCTCCTCCCCATCCTCTCTCCATGTGTAAAACATCCTGATGAGTCTACGAGCAAAACCACCAACATCGAATCCAAATATATATAATATTAATATACTATTAATATATATATATATCATATAATATCGAAATATATCGAACGCCTTCTGGACTCTCGACTCCCCCTTCCATCCATCTATCCATCCTACCTTTTCAAACATCCCCCTCCAGTCCTTCACAGGTCGGTCGGCGTCGACTGCATCAGTGGGCGAAACCGTGTCAGCATCACGCTCGGGTGCTGTGGTTTCTGCCTTCAGGGATCGTCTGAACTACCATGAACTCAAGAGGTTTACCTGCTTGAACTTGAAGATGCTAAAAGTATGCTTAATATACCTCGTAAATATATTATTATATTATCATATATATTTATATAGTATCTATGTATGTCTTGCACCTTGTGACACGTAATCTGGGTAATGAATCTAAAAAGCTTGCCACAGTCAGTGTCATCCATTTTCCAGCAGTGCAGCTGTACAATCCCCGCACTCCCCGGCCCAATCACGCGCCTCTGTGGCGGTCTCTGCTTTGGACTCTTCCTTGGAAATCTTGGAAGGGGCCTGTACGGCTTTG